CCCAGAAGGGGCTTCCTCAGGCCCCCCACCCCCACCCCCCAGGATCCATCTAGCAGTTAGCAAGGATTAAAGGTGTGTGTTTGTGGGGGGGGGGGACTGTGGTCCCGGAGGAGGTGCTGGGCTCCGTGGGGTATGTGTGGGGCGGGGGCTTCCTCTCCCACACAGCCTTGATTCTCTTGTTTATGGCATGGGAGATGAGGGGGGGCCGCTCTGTGTTCCCTGCCTCCGGCTCTCCACCTGTTTCTCGCTCACTCCTCCCCCACCTGTCTCCACGTGTCACTGCCACAGGTCGCTCGGCTGGACTGTGTACAGAGGGGGAAGTGACAGGTGTGGGGCAGGATGAGAGGAAGGTGGGGCAGGCTGTTTCCACACCCCGGGGAGGCTGTCTGGGGCCAGGCTGCAGGACGCAGCTGCTGAGAGTCTCCACACAGAGCACTCCACACAGAGTTCTCCAGGTGGCCCAGAACGAGCAGAAGAAGAGATTGGATTTATGCCCCACGGCCCTTCACTGGGAGTCTCAGAGTGGTTTACAATCCCTTTCCCTTCTTCTCCCGACAACAGACACCCTGTGAGGTAGGTGGGCCTGAGAGCTCTTTCGAGAACTGCTCGTGAGAGAACAGCTCTGAGAGAACTGCAGCTTGCCCAAGGTCACGCCAGCAGCTGCATGTGGAGGAGGAGTGGGAGATTAAACCCAGGTCTCCCGGATTAGACTCTGCGCTCCTAACCACGACACCAAACTGGGTTTCAAAGCCGGCCCCGGTGGGCTTGAGGTGGGGGGTGGCCGTGGTCTGGGTTGCAGTTCAGGCACAGCGAAGCCCTGATCTCCTTCCGCTTGGAGAGCTCCTCTCGGGCACCTCATTAGCTGAGCCTCACTGTGGCCTGGCGGAGCCAAGGGTGTGCCTGAGCCTGGGCCACGGAGGCACCCAGTCCCCCGGAAGAGGTGGGGCCCGAGGGACTGGGCAGCAGGGAGGAAGATGCAGGCTTTGCAAGAGGGAGAGAGTGGGGCCTTGAGGAGGGGGCCAGGAGAGCTCTCTGGGGGGGTGTGCCCCTGAGAGAGAGGGGGGGGTTTCTGTTGGGACTTCTGTGTGTGTGTGTGTGTGTGTGTGTGTGTGTGTGTGTGTGTGTGTGGTGTTAATGGTGTGCTGGCTGTTCTCTCCGCCTTCCCCTACAACCCCCTCAGCGGCAGGATGAGGATCCTCTCCGGATGCGGCCGCTTCCAGGTGCTCTGGGCGGCTCTGGCCGTCTCCATGACCATCGGCTTCACCATCCAGCTCTTCGGAGGCTCCTTGCAGAAGAGGTAACTTTGCCTCCACTCACCTGTCGCTCTGCTCAGGGGTGGGCCCAGCACTCCGTCAAGAGAGAGAGAGGAGGTGGGGGGGGGGCTCTGCTTCCCCCAGCCAGACGGCGCCTTTGCTGATTTCCCCCCCCCCCCTCTTCGCTCCTCCCCCCCCCCCCCCGTTCTTCTCCTCCAGGCTTCTTCCCGTTCCCTGGGCCCCTCCACCCAAAGCCGAGGAGGCGTGGGGGGGGGAGGAGGAGGAGGAGGAGGAGGAGGAGGAAGTGCCCCCCAGCCCACCTGCCCCATGCCAGCCACGCAAGCACCTCGTCTTCCTGAAGACCCACAAGACGGGCAGCAGCACCATTGTCAACCTTCTGCATCGCTTTGGGGACTCGCAGGGCCTGCGCTTTGCTCTACCAGCCCGCTACCAGTTCAGCTACCCCAACCCTTTCCAGGCCCGGCGGGTCAAAGGATGGCACCCCAAGGGGCGCCCGTTTGACATCCTGTGCCACCACATGCGCTTCAGACTGCCAGAGGTGCGGGGGGGTGGGCGGGCTGTGCGCGTGCACTGGCTCTTGAGAGGGAAGCGGGAAGGGTCTCTGCCGGGGAGACACAGCGCAGCAGACTGCGGGGGGGGGAGGGGGGAGCAGAGCCTCTGCACCGGACAGGGGAGGTTTGGCTGGGAGCCTCTTTGGCCCCCGCTCCAGCAGCACAAAGGCCCCCCCCCGCTCTTTGCGCACTCTGAGCCTGCCCCCCCCTCTCTGGGGTTTCCTCAGACACAGCCCCCCGAGTGGCGTCCCCGGAGCGCAGCCTTCCACATCATCGTCCCCCCCGCTTGCGCTCGGGGGGGGGGAGTGGGCTCCAACCCCTGCACTGCTCAGGGGGAGAGCCAGCGGGGCCCCTGCGGCACAGCCTCTCGTCGCTCCTCCAGGTCCTCCCGCCTTCCAGAGAGGGCAGCCCAGGTTGGGGGGCGGTGCCCCCTGTCTCCGTGAGGAGCCCCTGCCTGTTGCCGGGGATGGCCTGGCTCGGTTCCTTTCGGCCTCTCTGCCTGAGAAGGGGGGCTGACGACTCCAAGGGCACGAGCCTCTCTCTTTGGTCAGTGAAGCGCTATCAGAGTCCGCCTGTCAGCCAGAGTGCTGAAGCAGTTAGGATGTCGGGCTAGTGGCTGGGAGACCCCAGTTCAGATCCTCAGTCTACCAGGGGAGCTCGCTGGGTGATCTTGGGCCAGTCACACGCTCTTGGCCTCACCTCGTCTTCAGGGTGGCTGTGAAGACTAAAATGGAGAGGGGAGAGGTGGGGTGGAAGCGAAGAGGAGAGGAGAGATGGGTGTTCTCCACCGGGGAGAGGTCATTTCCCCGCCTCCCGCAGCTCATTCCGGCATCTCCCTCCACAGGTCCAGAAAGTCGTGCACCCCGACAGTTTCTACTTCTCCATTGTGCGGGACCCAGTGGCCTTGGCGGAATCGGCCTTCTCTTATTACCGGGGTGTGGCACCTGCTTTCCGTCGTGCTGGCACTCTTCCCGAGTTCCTGGCGTCCCCGCACCACTTCTACCAGCCTGGGGAGCGAGGGAACCACTATGCCCGCAACCTGCTGTGGTTTGACTTTGGCCTGGACCTGCCAGTCAGCCCCGGCTCAGCGGTGATCAAAGCCACTCTTGACGAGCTGGAGCGCATCTTTCATCTTGTGCTTCTGACAGAACACATGGATGAGTCCCTGGTTCTCTTGCGCCATGCCCTGTGTTGGACCCTGGATGACGTGGTGGCTTTCCGCCACAACCTGCGCAGCCCAGAGTCTGTGTACACGCTGGAGCCCAGCACCGCTGCCCGACTGCGGGCCTGGAACTACCTTGACTGGCACCTCTACACCCACTTCAACCGTACCTTCTGGGCTCGTGTGGAGCACTTTGGTTATGCCCGCATGGCCCGGGAAACAGCCCTGCTCCAGAAGCGCCGGGCAGAGCTGATGCAGCGTTGCTTGCAGGGTGGGGGTCCACTGGAGCCGGGACACATTGCTGATGAGCGCATTCGCCCCTTCCAGTTTGGTCAGGCTCCGATCTTAGGCTATGCCCTGCGGTCTGGCCTGGCCCCCGGAGACCAGGAAGTGTGCCAGCACATGGTCACCCCTGAGCTCCAGTACAAGGACCTTCTGGATGCCAAGCAATTTCTTGCACCCTTGCAAGGCAACAGCTCCCAGCTCGGGGCATTGAGGTAGTCTGGGCAGGCCTGTGGCATCAGCGGGCACAGGGTGGAGATCCCCGTTGTGCTCGGTCATGGTGTGGGGCTTCTGCAGGATTCTGCCTGACAAGTGCTGTGGCAGAGGCCATGTCGGGGGCCAGCCTGCAGTGCCCTGACAAAACCTCCGCTTGTTCATGATGGGCACAAAGGCATCTTGTTGCTATGCTTGTATTAATCCCCCCTCCCCGCTCCCAGCAGAGTGGCACTGAAATTTTCCACTTGTTGGAAACCTTGGATCAAACTCATTTGCCATGACACCTGAAATCAGCAAGCTGGAGTTGTTTCCTGTGGACTTCAGGTGTTCCCACAGGAGGAAGCGTGTGCAGTCACTCTCAGCGTGGGAAGGCAGGGAGGGTGCAGAGGGCAGGTGCATGGAAGCAAGTGCACAAGAGCCCATCCTGAACAAACGTGTGGTCACGGGAGGCACGAGGTCCCTGTCAGGAGCCGAAATGGAATGCCACACAAAATTGAACGAGGCAGCAGAACACATTTAGAGTCCAGTGGGGCACCTGAAGACCAGCAGAGGTTTATTCTTCAAGATGCGAACTTTCATGTGCAGCATGCAGACCTTCTCCTGCCTCAGACCCCAACATTGCTGACCACCTGAAACTAGGTAGTTGTTTCTGAAAATGTCGAGGTGGGCCCTCCGGGGTGCCAGGGGCTCAATTTCCCCGCAGGCTGAGACGGCCCCATGTCCCCCCCCCCCCCCCCCCGGTCACACCCCTGTTGCCCTGGAACAGGTACTGGTATCTGACACAGGGCGCAGTGACTCTTGAAAGCTCATCAACCCCCCCCCCAAAAAAAAATGTGGTTGGTGTCTCTAAGGCAGTGATGGCGAACCTTTTAGAGACCGAGTGCCCAAACTGCGACCCAAAACCCACTTATTTATCGCAGAGTGCCAACATAGCAATTTAACCTGAATACTGAGGTTTTACTTTAGAAAAAACAACGCATACATTAACTTAAGATGATCCAAACAAAGTAAGGAAAGCAATCCCAAATGCTTTCATTGACTTAAAATTATTTGGCAGAGAATTCGACACCTTAATGATGGTCTGGGCCTGGCTGGGGCGATGGCACGCGTGCCCACAGAGAGGGCTCTGAGTGCCACCTCTGGCACCCGTCCCATAGGTTCGCCACCATTGCTCTAAGGTGTCCCTGGACTCAAATCCAGCTGTTCTACTGCCGAATGACAGGGCTGCCCTTGAAAACTCTCATCTTGTGTTGGGCTGCGCAGAATGCAGGAGTTGGATTCACACCAGCGAGGCAAGCAGAGGATGGGCTGCCGGCTGCTTCCAGTAGCACTTCTTGGCTTCCTTGGTGCCGCTCACACTCTCTCTGTTCCCAGGAGAACCATGTCCACACACCCCCCCCCCAGCCTGCTCTGGCCTCCTTTTCTGAGAAGTTGGGCCAGACTGGCAACCTTTTGCACAGGCGGCTGAGATGTTTCCTTAGTCTTAGGCCTTCCTCCTCTTCACTCAGCGCGAACAGGGGGGGAAAGCACCCCAAGTTCACATGTGCCTCTTGACTTCCAGCCCCTCTCCTGCAATCTGGAAAAGGGGACGGCGGTTCTGAATGCTCTTGCGTTGGACTTCTGAACTGACTGACGGCCATCCAGGAAGGCGGCTTTGCTCCCGGAACAAGCACATTGTCTTTGCCTGCACATCACCCCTCCCCCCCGCTGCTTTCCCTGCATCGTACTGTAGGGGGTGTCTTATGTGCTCGGGCCTTAGATGGTGTCAGCCCAGGCGGTCCACCGGGGTCAGTTTTGTCTCCTTGGCCTGGCCTCCGCGGCTCTCCAGGGTGTCTCAGGCAAAGAGCGGTCTTTCAAATCACCTCCTGCCTGGTCCTCTTGAGCTGGAGATGCCGGCGATTGTACCTGCAACCTTCTGCATGCCAAGCAGAGACTCTACCACTGAGCTGTGCATGCGCACTCAAGATGCCTTGCCAAGGAGGGCAGGGGCAGCAGTCGAATCCTGCACAGAAACTAAGGTCCAGTGCTAGTGAGCCCCCCGGGACTCAAGAGGACCCTCATTCCTGAGTAATCCTGCATCGGATCAGGAGGCAAGACACTGCAGTTGGAGCACAGATTTTGCATTAGTGTCAAACTCTGCCTTATCCTTGCCCTGCTAGAGGGATAACAGCACTGACCCACCTTATAGGGATGTTGTACAGTTATGTGAATATCTGTGACATCCTTGTGTCTATACAAGCATACTGTCGTAACAGTGTATTAGCCTAGCTGAAGAGGCTGTTTGGGTAAACAGCAAGAATGCCATGGGAACAGACCCCTGGGCTGCCTTCCCTTATTACTATTATTCACTTTATTTATAGTCCATCCTTCTCACCGAGACTCAAGGCAGATGGCACAATGGAGGTCAAATACGATCAATAGGATGAAGCATCTAATAAGCAATGGAATAGGACTAGGAACTGCAGACGTCAATCAAAATGTACAGTATTAGTCATGATGTTAAGTAATGTAGAAACTGTATTGCATAGTAATGGTATTTCATGCAGCAAGAGCTGGGCAAAAGGTACAGCAGACAGATAATGCCTACTACACACACAGGGGCCTGCTAGCCCACAGTTCTGTTACCTTCCTTTACCATTCTGTCATAATATAGCCTTATTACTTTTATTAAAATGAGTTCCCGAACAATTCCGTTTTGCATAGTTTGTGGAATGACAGAAGCACCTGCAGAAGTCGTCCTGGCAGAGCGCAGGAGGAGAGCGTAGGCCTGCAGAAATGTGGGGCCCAGGCCATAAAAGGGGCTCAGCGAGGGCCACCACCTTGAGCTGAATCCGGCAATGGAGGGGCAGCAGCCAGGGGAGTGACTGCAGCATGGGGAGTGTGTGTGTGTGTGTGCTCCTCATAACTGAGCTGTGGTCATGGCTGTTCTTAGAGAGCCCTCAAGTGCTGGGGAGGGGGGGGGGCTGAGACAAGGTAAATGGCGCCCATATGGGCGGGGCCTTTAAAAAAGCACCCCTTCCCAAGCAGGCCGTGTCCAAAGGCACTTTGGGTTGGAGCTGGAATACATCTTCCAAGGGCAGACTGGAACTTCCCTGCCCCCACTGTCCCACTGCAGCCTCCTGATCGCCAAGAAATGCCCCCCCCCCCTTGCCGGGGGTGGTGGTGGTGTGTGGGCTAGGGAATCCTGAAGGAGGAGGGGGGGTGCCCCTGCAGCAGCTTAGAGGGAGTCAGTGGGGGGGGGGGGCAATTCTGGCTGGGTCCAACATTTTAGCTGCAGTCTTTCCCAAAAGGTGGGATGGAGCCCAGTTAGTTTGAGAAAGGTTGCATCGAAACAATGGTAGAGCGGGGGGGGGCCCTCTGGGTACGCGGGTCAGGCACACCAAATGATCCACTTCCAGGGCCCTTTCCAGCTGGATCTTACTGTGTGAACTGGCCAAATCCAGTGGGGAAGTGTATTGGGGGCCTAGGCCCCGTGGAAGCAAGCTGGGACCCCGTGTTCTCCAAGGGCTTTGCCACGCAGGGCGCTCCAGCCAAGGAAGGGAGGGAGGGAGGCGGCCCCTGCCAGCAGAGACGCTCCAGGACTGCCGGGGGGGTCAGTGGGGAAGTGTATTGGGGGCCTAGGCCCCGTGGAAGCAAGCTGGGACCCCGTGTTCTCCAAGGGCTTTGCCACGCAGGGCGCTCCAGCCAAGGAAGGGAGGGAGGGAGGCGGCCCCTGCCAGCAGAGACGCTCCAGGACTG